GGGGGAATCAATGGTGGAGAAGGATCTGGGAGTTCTGGTAGATCACAAGCTTAATAATGGCATGCAATGCCAAGCTGCGGTTTCTAAAGTGAGCAAAATCCTCTCTGGTATTAAAAGGTATAGACTCCAGAGAGAGAGATATCATATTACCCCTGTACAAATCATTAGTAACACCTCATCTGGAATATGCAGTTCAGTTTTAGGCACCAATTGACAAAAAGAACATTGGGGAACTGGAGAAAGTACAGAGAAGGGCAACCAAACTGATAAGAGGTATGGAGGAGCTCAGCTATGAGGAAGGATTAGAGGAACTGAATTTATTCTCTCTTGAGAAGAGGAGATTAGGAGGATATGATCAATATGTATAAATACATCAGTGGTTCATATAGTGAATTCGGTGTAGAGTTCTTCACCCTGAGGTCATCACAGAGGACAAGGGGGACACTCTTTACGCTTGGAGGAAAATAAATTTAATCTCCAAACATGGAAAGCTTTCTTCACAGTAAGAGCTGTGAAAATGTGGAATAGACTCCCTCAAGAGTTGATTCTGGCCAGCTCCATGGATTGCTTTAAAAAGTCCTGGATTCTTTCTTGGATACACAGAATATAACTGGATACTAACATTTATAGATAAAGTTGATCCAGGGAATATCCGATTGCCTCTTCGGGGATCAGGAAGGAATTTTTCCCCTGCAGGAGCAAATTGGGTCATGCTTTGCTGGTTTTTTTGCTTTCCTCTGGATCAACTGTGGGTGTAGGATTATTACTTTTTTTTTTATGGTTGAACTGGATGGACTTTTGTCTTTTTTCAGTCAGACTACCTATGTAACTATATATTTTGGAGGGAGGCATTTAAGTATCCAGGGACATTGTGAGTATCAACCTGAGTGTGAGATCCTAGTGACTGCTTGCTGTTACTATTTCCCTATTCGTGCATCAGTGCCCGTGCTGTTCAGATTGGGACTTTCCTTTTAGGGGTCTCAATGTCATTCACCCTTTCAGAGGCTTCTAGAGGGACTGTGCTAAGAGGTTTAGATAAGAGTGAAGTGTGTCCTCTGATTGTTGAACTGTGTTTCTGGAGTATACAACAGCTCTCTTCACCCTAACCAAGTTCAACTTATAATAATGCATCAAAAGATACCCCTAGACCAATAACTGGGCCATGAGAGTGACTTTGTTGCTGTGTGCTTTCGGTGCTACTACACCAATGTGGGCAAGGAACCTGGGGACTACTCAGCGGGCTCTTTCAGGGGTTAGCGCTGCACATATAAAGATAAACCAGTTTGGAAGGAGTTGCAATAGTTGAGGTGAGAGATAACCAGGGAATTAAATAGAAGCTTTCTGGTGTTGTTGGTTAAGAAGGGGTACATATTCGAGATGTTGCAGAGGTTGAGGTGGCAAGATTTCGGCAGATTTGGATGTGCAGCCAAAAGCTCAGATTCCAGGATTACAGCTAACACCCTGGAATGCAGGGACAAACTGATGGTTGGGCCATCAATCTCGAAGTCACTAGCGCATGCAAAGCCTAAATAGGTCAGAAGCAGGGGCGGACTGACTATTTGGAAACTCGGGCACTGTCCCTATTTTCCGGGGGGCCCCATGAGTTGTCAGTCCGCCCCTGGTCAGATGTTACCTTAGATTTCCCCAGTCTGACTCCAAGGACTCTGGTAGGAAATCTTTATTTTTCATGCTGTTTCGCTTGTTACATAACATAATATGGATAGTCTTAAAATAGTAAAACCTTTTTGCACGTGCATAAATGGAGCACATAAAAGGAGTGTAAATACTGGAGGAACTTGGCGGGAGGAACCACTGAGTACATCAGGGGACCTGTACACTGATACTCCCAAAAGTGTTGGCTTCTGAAGAAATTAAGAGCAATATTTTTCTTCAACAGGAAAGGTTATGTGGCATGAACAGCAGGAGAGGTAAGTGTTTTGTCGATGCTTTTGGAAAGACAGCTTCCAATATACAAACAAACATCCGACGGCCGCACATCCAGTAAAATCACTTTTATTTCTTCTTATAACATATTCCACAAACATGACAGGGATACAGGACTCCAGCGAATGCGTTTCATGCTCCACTAACGCTTAGTCGTGGCTCCTTAGAGCAGTGTTTTTTTCAACCTTTTTTTGTGCAAAGGCACACTTTTTTCATGAAAAAAATCACGAGGCACACCACCATTAGAAAATGTTAAAAAAAATTTACCTCTGTGCCTATATTGACTTAGCTGCTTCAGGTCCGAGCATCTCCTCTACAATAGCTTTGCAGGGGAAGTATTAATGTCTCTGCCACAGTGTGCGACTTTTTTGACTTGGCTATAAGTTCAGCAACTTGATAGCTAGCTTTAAGAGCTCTTTCATTTACCTTTGTGGTTTTTCTCATGAAAGTTGCCTGTTTCTCCGTGTTTTCATGCAGGTGAACAAAAAAGTCCGCATTCTTGTTTTGAAGCGAAGGGTGTTTCGTTTGGAGATGGCGTTTAAGTTTACTTGGGACCATAGCACTGTTAGATAGCTTTTCACCACACACCACACACAGTGGAGTTGGTTTCTTTGCATCTTGAAAGTAAATCAAATGAAATATAGCTTTCGCTTTATTCTTGTGCCAGAGAATTTCTTGAGCTAACCATCTTTGCTTTCTTTTGATCCCCACTCATAGTTGGGCTCTTCTGGCTCCGAATTTTGTTCAGAGTCCAGTTCTTTCCTTTTCAAAAATTTGTCCATCACTGCAGTATCTGTTCCTGTCTCACTGTCACTCAGTACTTACTGCGCTTGTCTCCTCCAGATAGCCGCTGTCCGTCACACTCCATCCAGATCCATCAGTCAGCGCTCTTCTGCTCCTGTCTCCTCCAGATCCATCACTCAGCGCTCTTCTGTGCTGAGTCCGCGATAATCCTCCAGAGTCCAGATCCTTCGGTGCTCTTCTGCATCGGCGATCTACTGCGATGTCTTCTCCTGTCAGTGTAACAGTGACACCGGAGCTATTTATAGTCCGTAACATGCGCTTCGGCTCACAAATAGACCAATCATTAGATTCTAACGATTGGTCTATTTGTGAGCGAGGCCACATGTTGCGGATGAAATTGGAATTTTTCCCATGGCACACCAGACAATATCTCACGGCACACTAGTGTGCCGCGGCACAGTGGTTGAAAAACGCTGCCTTAGAGGATGGATGTGTGGCCATCTGATATTTGTTTGTATATTGGGAGTCTGCTGCATACAGGGCCAGCACCTTGGATTTAGTGTGTGTATGGTAGTGGAAGAGGGAACCGACCTGGAAGGTGTTTTTTGTTCTTTTGCAGAGACAGCTTGTTGTCCTTTTTTTCTGTACTTTTTTATCTTGCAAATTATCTTAGGAAGTGGTAGTAGACATTTCACGTGGGCCATAAGTATCGAAATGCACTTGAATAATATAGATTTGTGTCTTATTAAGGGTTCTTCCAGCTTGAAGGAGAGAGTCTTTCTCCAAATAAATCTCGTAGCATTTATGCAGACTGTGATGTCTTACATGCAGTAACTTGGTGTGCATTAAGGCTGCACTTTATCTGCATATACAGTATCTACACACAGTGATCCTATGTTTGTACTTGGATAGTAATGAAATATAGGACCCATTATAGAACCCCTCCGGTCCGTTCTTATCATCAGCGCGTTGGCAGTCGGAACTCGGGGGCACTCTAGATCAGCAGGATTGGCGGACCATGACCCAAGCATTATGTAAATGTTCTAGGAATGTTATTATTCTAGAAAATGCCTATAAGGTTCTTTATAGATTTTACTACACGCCTGCTTGTCTGGCTCATTTATATTCCCACATACTCCCCGACTTGCTTTCGGAGTTGTCAACAAATGGGCACTATGGTCCATATTTGATGTTCTTGCCCCAAGGTGTGCAGACTGTGGATCAGAGTTTATGCCCTTCTCCGCACTATGTTTCACACAGACATTAAGCACAACTTGTATGAAGCGCTTTTATTTAAACCAATAGTGGGCCTACTTTGTCCTGAACGGCAGCTGGCGTCGCACCTATTCATGGCCACGAAGCTGACGATCGCGAGGGCTTGGAAGACTCCCCTCCTCAGCTTTGAGGCTGTCAAAAACCAGATGAACTTTATAATGGTTAACAAAAAGCTGACAGCTATACAGTTAGATACCCACACAAAATTTCTGCAGACATGGCGTCCCTGGCTTGACATAGCTCAACCGTTGAAATTAGTCCCTTTTGTCGATATAAAATTTACATATCAGTTTTTTTTTCTTTTTTTTTTTCCTTCTGCGGTCCCCCTGGAGCCCTTTTCTTTGTCTTGTCTCCTTTCTCTTTGTTCCTCTCTTTCCTTTTGTTTAGTCTGTTTTTATACTATTTGTGCTGATTGTGATTTTTGCTTTGAGTGCCCTACCAGCAGTACTATATCCATATGCTGGACTCCTTCAAGAGCCCTGCATGTGGAGTATCTATCGGCATTCAGAGAGGCTCCATCTCCCATCTTCCCCACCTTCTTTTATATATATCTGGCACCTGTGTACGCAGTTTATTCTCATGTCTTTGCATCAGTACATATTCTGTATCACCCATCGAATACTTTGCATGTTTTATTCCTGTCGGTCAATGCATCTGTTTTCGACTGATTCTCTGCTGTTACCTATTCTATAATAAAATTCTTTGTAAAAGAAATATAGGACCCAATAATTGCTTTTGTACATGAACCTTTGTTGACTGGTTGCTTCTAGTACTCTCTTTGAACATGTTGGTGACCCTGAAGATCTCTTTTATTGTGTCATAGGTCCTTTGTAATGGATATGGTAAAAGAGGACTTGCTCCTGTCAGCATCACACTATTTGACCATCTCTGTTATGATTTAGCCTCATCTGTCATCCCTGTCTGGTTTATTGTTTACCTTTTTCAGTTTGGCTTTTTTACTTTGTTTCCCACCAGCTACCATAATTATGATATAAATTATAATATTTTTATGGACTCTGTTCTAATTATTAAAATATTTCTTTTTCTTATCAGAATGTCGCATACTCAGGCCGAAAGTGTGATAAAAAATATTATACGGGAAATTGCTCAAGAATGTGCCGAAAAGGGGCAAAATGTATCTGAAACCATGGTAGCATTTGTGGTAAGCTTCAACAAGGGTTTTGTTTCTGCAATAAAAATAACTTTTGTTTTTTCGGTTGTTTTTGTCTAGGGGATTGAAGAGCGTAGATACACCTATCTGATCCTCCCTACACAAGTGCGGTCCCTGCGGCACATTCACCCCCCACAGACTAGCGGTCATGTGCAGTAGACTGTTCCTGGTATCATCAAGCCCATAGCTCTGCTCTGGACATGAGGAAATCAGGAACAGTCCACCACTGTATTATGGTGGAGAGCTGTTCACCAGTGGAATAGCTTTCTGGTCGCCCCTGCACAAAACAAGCAGCTAACCCTTGCAATGCAGGCATGGCCTCACTGCAAGGGAAAAACTTTTTTTTTCTAAGCTTTTTGCCTGGAGTTGGGCTCTAACAACGTAAGCCCCCAGCAAAATGTTGAAATTACTCTGGGATATATATACATATATATATATGTATGTGTGTGTATGTACTGTATACTATATACTGTGTGCACATTTACGAGTAGTAGTGTGCACACATCTACGCATATTGCCCATCCCTCCATCTCCCTATCACTTTATCAATCCATTTATTGATGTGTCAATTAAAAAAGCATATAAAAAAGGATTTAGCTTTTCTAAGGTTAGAGGTAAAGGTTGTCATCTGCCTGTTCATCTAGCTGTCTGAACTTCAAACTGCCTATTTAAATTTTTTAAAAATGTTGTTTTTATGAGTTAAAGTTAGTGTTTGTGTGTCAACCAGCTCATCCTTTTATCTGTATGTCTGTCATATCTTCCCCCTTAGTCCACTTATTTATGTTTGGAAAAAGTATTTAGGGTTATACTTATTTGTTGGCCATGTATTCATCGGCATCTCTATCTGTCAATTTGAAAAAAAATTATTAGGTTTTATAAGAGAGTTAAGACTAGTGTTTGTTCATCAGCCTCCTGGATCCGCTTCCTGGACGATTTTCAATATCCCCATCAACGTCCACAGCCTGGCTACCTCCCAACTCCTCCTCCTAACCTCCTCTTTCGCGCTCACACAGTGCACACAGTTCTCCACCCACTCCGATGGGAACACCCTGGACCTCGTTTTCTCCCACCTCTGTACCCTCCACAACTTCACTAACACCCCCTTCCCTCTCTCTGACCACCACCTCCTCACGTTCTCCCCCTCCTCTAACTCCCCCCCCCCAAAGCGTTAAACCATCACCAGCCGCAACCTCTGCAACCTGAACCCGGCCCCTCTCCACTCGGCAGCTGTACAACAGTATCCTTCCATTGTCATGCCCTGACCTGGCCACTACTGCGTACAACGACTCACTGTCAGCTGCCCTAGACTCCCTGGCACCCCTAACCACACATAACATCAGACCCCGACCACTTCAACCCTGGCAGAATGACCATACAAAATGTCTCAAATGACGCAGTTGCACGCTGGAGCGATCATGCCGCAAAACCAGATCCCCTCGCGCATTTTTCCTCTACAAATCCGCCTTCCTCACCTACACCTCCTCCCTCCACGCCGCCAAGCAAGCCTACTTCGTAACCCTCATTAACACCCTCTCCACCTGTCCTCGCCGGCTCTTCTCCACTTTCAACTCCCTGCTCTCTCCTCCCCCCCCACCTCCACTCAGTACCTCACTCACCGCCCACGAGATTGCCAATCATTTTCAAAACAAGATTGACGCAATCCGTAAGGACATTGTCAATTCACAATCTACCTCTCCACCTAGCCTTCCTCCCTCCATTACCCCCTCAACCCTTCCCTCCTCTGACCTCGCAACCGCACTGCCCCCCCACCACACCTAATGTCCCGCACACTATAATCTCCCCAACACTCTGCTCCTTCAGCCCTGATACCACCGAGGAGGTCACTAAAGTCTTCTCTAAAGCCCGCCTCACCACTTGCCCCCTGGACCCCATCCCCTCACAACTCCTCCGGTCACCCCCTCCTCCATCATTCGCTCCCTCACCCACATCTTTAATCTCTCCCTCTCTACTGGCGCATTCCCCTCCCCCCAAAGCACGCGCACATCAACCCCATACTCAAAAAACCGTCCTTGGACCCCACTGACCTGAACAACCTTAGACCCATCTCCCTGCTGCCACTCACTTCCAAGCTTCTTGAGCACTTAGTCTACAATCGCCTAAGCGCCCACCTCACTGACAACAATCTCCTTGATCCACTACAGTCCGGCTTCCGTCCCCTACACTCCACCGAAACCGCCCTACTCAAAATCACTAACGACCTGCTAACCGCAAAGCTAATGGCCACTACTCAGTCCTCCTACTCCTCGACCTCTCCATGGCCTTCGACACAGTCGACCACCCCCTCCTCCTTACTAAACTATACTCCCTTGGCATCAGGGACTATGCTCTCTCCTGGTTCTCCTCTTACCTATCCCAACGCTCCTTCAGCGTTACCTATAACGCCGCCACCTACCCCTCTCTCCCCCTCTCTGTTGGGGTCCCCCAAGGCTCTGTCCTCGGACCCACCCCTTCTCTTTTCCATCTACACCTCCTCCCTCGGCAAACTGATACACTCCCACAGCTTCAACTATCACCTCTATGCCGATGACACACTAATTTACCTCCACCACACCCCACCTCACCCCCTCACTCTCCGCCCGCATCACCCACCTCCTGAACGACATATCAGACTGGATGTCGCTCCATTTCCTCAAGTTAAACCTGTCCAAAACCGAGCTCCTAGTTTTCCCCCCAGCCCAGCCCGCGCCCCCCCCATCCTCTCCATCACGACTAACAATGCCACCATCAATCCCTCCCCACACGCCAAAGTCCTAGGTGTCACCCTGGACTCAAACCTATCCTTCCAACCTCATGTCCAATCACTACCAAATTCATGCAGGCTCCACCTCCGCAACATGTCCAAGATATGTATTTTCCTCACCCCAGACACCACCAAACAACTCGTACACTCCCTTATTATCTCACGCCTACACTACTGCAACTCTCTTCTCACTGGCCTACCCAAACAAATGCTATCCCCATTCCAGTCTATCCTGAACTCAGCTGCTTTAATAAGATAAGGGTTAACCATAGGTGCTTCATCAATCTATTCTTTGGAAATGTATACAGTCAATTGAGTTCCAGTTAACTGAATTATGGCACACAGGATGTAAAGTGCTGGCAAAGCATACAAGATGATTTGCTTATCTGATTACAGAAGTGATAATGATGAGATCAGTGATAAGCTCAATCACACAGACACAATATAGGAGCCCACTGATAGCAGTATGGACAAATCAGATGGCATCCAATACCACTTCTATGCTGATGACACCCAGATCTATGTCTCCACTCCCCAGCTCACTCCCTCAATCTCCTCACGTATCACAAATCTACTAAGCAACATATCAGCATGGATGTCACATCACTACCTTAAACGCAATCTTTCCAACACCGAGCTTGTAATATTTCCTCCTCCCCGATCCCCACTTATGACTTTACCATTAAGATCAACAGCACAACCATTAGTCCTTTCCCTCATGCCAGGACGCTAGGCATAATCCTAAACTCTGATCTCTCATTTGGGCCCCACATCCAATCACTGGCTAAATGCTGCTGCTTCAACCTCCGGAACATTTCCAAAATCCTTTCTGACCAGTGACACCACAAAACAACTTATCCATGCCTTGGTTTTTATCCCGCCTCGATTACTGCAACTCCCTCCTCACTGGTCTACTGTTACACAGGTTATCCCCCCCCCAGTCTATTATGAATGCTGCTGCCAGGCTCATCCACCTTACCAACCGATCAGTGACTACTGCCCCTCTCTGCCAATCCCTTCACTGGCTTCCACTAACCCAATGTATAAAATTCTAAATACTAACCACAGCTTACAAAGCCATCCACAACACTGCCCCTAACTACATCACCAACCTTATCTGCGGATATTGCCCAAATCGTCCACTCTGCTCCTCCTAAGACATCTTCCTCTCTAGCTCCCTCATCACCTTCTCCCACTCTCGCCTCCAGGTCTTCTCCAGAGCCTCTCCCATCCTCTGGAACTCCCTACCACAGTATGTCTGGTCAGCCACCACCCTGTCTGCCTTTAGGTGATCTTTTAAAACTCACTTATTCAGGGAAGCCTACCCCACATCCACTTAAGAACTGTACTTGAATCACCTCCACCAGATCATCCCCCGCAGCTATCGCCTTTTGTATCACCTCCCCCTTCCTTTAGATTGTAAGCTCCAGGAGCAGGGCCCCCAGATTCCTTTTGTACTGAAAATGTATTGTAATTGTACTGTCTCCCTTATATTGTAAAGTACTGTGCAAACTGTTGTCGCTATATAAATCCTGTGTAATAATAATAATTAGATTCTGATTAAGAGAAATCTTCATCTATAAAGCCCAGAGAGAGAGAGATGCAACTCTCCTCAACTGAATACAACTTCAGCTGCTGCTTCAAGTGGCACAGCTAAAAATCGTGCAGTAGAAAATTCTGTGGATGAATGCAATATGAATATGTTCTCCGTAAGTGGCTTCACAGGTCAGAGATAGAACACAGAACATGGAGGGAAACTGTGCCCGAGGAAATTGATAATCCTGTAAGGGCACTGGAAAACCAGGAATAAATGTCTCCAGAGAAAATCTCACTCCAGTTGACTTTTTTCAGTTATTTGCAGATTGTTCACCAAACAAACCGTTTTGCTCAGCAGCTTTTGACATAGAATCCTGATTACTATGGGAATCTGGGGAACCTGTGACTTTGCCAGAGCTGAAGTTATTTTTGGGCCTTACATTTTAATATGGGCCTCACTAAAAAGTCCACCATTAGATTGTACACATCTACTAACCTACAAATTTATAAAACACATGTTAGTACCTGGCTCTGAACCTGCAACCTCTGCTGTGTCTGGCAATGTCTCTTCTTGCTGAGCCAATTCCTTGTCTGAGCCATTGGACAATTCTGCCTAGTGCCTTGTTTCTGATGAACCTTGAGCTCCTTGCTCTTCCCATGAACTTCCTATTTTAGCCATGCCTTTGCACTTCCT